GTTAAAGAATTATTTAATTTTACTTATTATTATTGTTTCAATTTGACCAGAGAGAGACAGAGAAAGAGTGAGAGGGAGAGTGAGAAAGCAAGCCACCAGGTCTAGGACTCAAACCATGGTCAACCATGTGGGAGTCCCGCTACCCACTGGCCCTTTATCTATTTCCTACATGCTTACTGTATACCACCTATTAGACACCTGCTACTGAACCTGGCATTAGATACAAAATGAAGATATAATTTGGGACTAGGTGGTGGCACAGTGGTAAAACACAACACTTTTCGAGGCAGTCCCAGATGGGAAAGTTGCTGGTTCAAATCCAGAGACCTCCCTGAGTACACCAGGCATGCACAGACTGAGGGTGGGTCGCAGTATCAAGGTCCTGAGGAGGATACTGTCTCTCTCTCTCTGAGTCATGGAAGAAATATACATATTTTTTAAAGTTAAGATACAGTTTATGCCATCGAGAAAGGAAGACAAATAGACCATTGCAGAATACATTTTAACTTACTGACACAGTTTCTAACAGAGGTATATCTCAAGGGCTTAAGGAACAAAGAGCAGCAGCAATTCGCCATATAGAACAGTGAAAGCGAGTCATTTAACCTCCCTGTGACTCAATTTTCTTATGAAACAAATAATGATAATAACATTGGGTCCTCGGGAAAGTCAGGATGTGTTTTTCTATGCAAAAGTGCATATTGACTTTTTAGACAACCCAATAGTTGCCCTAGGGGACAGCAGGTAGTAATGTGGTGGTTAAGGCACTAGACTCCCACATGGCTGACCATGGTTTGAGTCTTGGACCTGGTGGCTTGAAAAATCACACCAAGCATGTGTGCATATATACATGCCCAAAATCCCAGAAGAATGGAGGAGAAGGGATTGTGACTTCCTTTTCCCACTGGGAGGTGATTTCTCACTTTCCCTCTCACTGTCTCTCTCCTCTTTTTTTTTTTTAAAGAATTATTTAATTTATTTATTCATCCATTTATTTTAATTTGATCAGAGAGAGACAGAGAGGGAGAGGGAAAGTGAGAAAGCAAGCCACCAGGTCCAGGACTTGAATCATGGTTGGCCATATGGGAGTGTTCAGAGCCTTAACCACCATGACACCTGCTAGTCCCCTGTCTCTCTTTGTCTCTCTCCAACAAATAAACACACCCTATGGCAAAAACTAAAAAGTTGCCCTATCTTCCTCCAAGGCTATTGTAACAAAGAGGTAGATTTAGAGATAAATCCTTGAAGGTTAAAGGGCCATAAAAGCACACAGTGATTTTGTTATACACACTCCAATAAAAATACACAATTACTGTTGACTCTTGAACAATATGAATTTAAACTGCACAGGTGCAATTAAACATGGATTTTTTTTCAACAAATATATTGAAAAATTTTTGGAAGATTTGTGACAGTATGTCAAAACTTCACAGCCAAGAGAAATATAAACAAATTGTAAAGATGCTTATGAAATCGTAACCGCATAAAATTAACTGCAGTCCATACTGTCCTACTGTAATAATTTTGTAGTGCTGCAGCTGCAACTGAGATGAGCTCAAACATTCGACACTAACCACTTCTGCATGAGTGGTTCCTCTCTTCAGTAAATTGCGTGTCATGTAAAAACTGATCCTTGGGAACCAGCAGTTAGCGTAATGGCTATGTCGCTGGATTCCCACGTGGTCGACCGCGGTTCGCGTCCTGGACCCGGTGGCTTAGAACTCAAGCTGGGCACGTGTGCGTGCATGCCCAAGATCCCGAGAGGAGACTGGAGGAGAAGGGATTGCGGCGTGACCATCCCCCGTGGGGGATGATTTCTCGCTTTCTGTCTCTATGTCTCTCTCTGTCTGTCTGGCGAGCGCACGCACCCTATAGCGAAAACCTCTCAAAAAAAAAAAAAAAAAAAACTGATCCTTCACGGTTCTCACGTGTTTTTCAAAATGTTTAGTACAACCTTGAATAACACCTCGGGACCCATACCTAGCGCCACTAGTCGTGCAGGAAGTGCTCCCAAGAACCAGAGGAAAGTCATGATGTTACCAAAACAGGTGGCTTGCTTGCTTGGTACTGAAGAGTGAGGTATGCAGCCCGGGTGGCCCGCCATTTCAATTGTAGGCCATTCGTGGTTAAGTTTTTGAGGAATCAAAAAGCCATAAGCAGGTCAGGTGATAGCACTGTGGCAATCCAACTGAACGCACATGGCAAATGTCCTGAGTTCTCGCCCAAGAACTCCCTGAGCTCAGAACTCTCTGAGCACACGGGGCAAGCACATGCATGCCTGCGATCTAGGCCCGCCCAGGCTGGAGGGGGAACAGCAATGTGAAGACCCTGCTGGTGCAGATCTCTCTGTAGCTTTCTCTCTCATATAGAAAAAATAAATGAATAAACTTTTTAAAAAAGTCTTATGCAATTGTCAACTGCACAGGGAATTGCCACTCCTAACCCCCACACTGTTCAAGGGACAACTGAACAGGCCAAGAGAAAATTCTACTTTGGTCTAAGTTATCATCTATAGCATAAAACTTGCTTGCCATGTCAAGTTCATTAAGACATGAGGTTCCCCATATCTCAGTTTCTCTACCTATGAAGTATGAGTATTGAGCTAGATAACTCTAATATTCCCATTGACCAATTAATTTAGATTTTCTTACTTTTTTTTTTTTTGGAGAGATTTTCGCTATAGGGCGCGTGCGCTCACCAGACAGACAGAGACATAGAGACAGAAAGCGAGAAATCACTCCTCAGGGGGGAAGGCCATGCCACAATCCCTTCTCTTCCATTCTCCTCTCGGGATCTTGGGCACGCACGCACACGCGCCCAGCGTGAGTTTTAAGCCACCGGGTCCGGGACACGAACCGCGGTCGACTACGTGGGAGTCCAGCGACATAGCCATTACGCTAACTGCTGGTTCCCGATTTTCTTACTTTTTATATAAAGAACCTAAGACAAAGAAAGGTTAAGAGATTTGTTCAAGTAAGCATCACAATAAACCCAGAATTAGAATCAAGTCTTCTGTGCTGGTCCTAAGGCCTGGGAGTTAAGGAATCTGATTCTACAAGGCCAAGTACACGGCCCAAATCCCAGACCCAACAGTTTAAAAAACACTGGACATATGGGACCAGCAGTTAGCGTAATGGCTATGTCGTTGGACTCCCACGTAGTCGACCGCGGTTCGTGTCCCGGACCCGGTGGCTTAAAACTCACGCAGGGCGCGTGTGCGTGCGTGCCCAAGATCCCGAGAGGAGAATGGAGGAGAAGGGATTGCGGCGTGACCATCCCCCCTGGGGGGTGATTTCTCGCTTTCTGTCTCTATGTCTCTCTCTGTCTGTCTGGCGAGCGCACGCGCCCTACAGTAAAAATCTCTCCAAAAAAAAAAAAACACTGGACATGTGTGCATGCGTACCTAAAATCTCAACAGGGAGGGGAAGTAAATGGAGAAAAGATTGTGGCATGACCACACCCCTGGGAGGGTGCTTTTGTCCTCTCTCTGGCGAGTACACATGCCCTATGGAAAGTTAAAAAGAAAAATAAATTTGGAATTAGAATTCAGGTTTTATTTTTCTCAAAAGTGTCATGTCTTAAAAATACAAAAGAAGGAATTTTCACTTGTATAGGTTCTTAAAATAGATGCTAAGACCTGCCATTGTCCCTAAATCTTCCAGCTCAGCCTGTATACTGGGGATGATGAAATTATGTGGTTACTTTTGTGAAATTCATCACCAAATTGCTATTTCAATCTCCTGAGAATTTCTTTCATTCAACAAGATTTGATCCTTTTGACTTGATTCTAATCCTTTCATTTTATTCTATTAAAATGAGAAAGTACTGCCATCTACTGGACTCTAAAGATATTGCTGCTTTTAGAGATACCTAAAGTTTTGGAGAAAAGAATTCTCAGTAGTCTATCGCTTCTTGCACTTTTTCAATAGCAGAACTGGTTACTCTGCCAGTATACATAAGATAAATATCAAAAGTCAAGCCTAGGGGTAAAGTAAGACAGGAGAAATACTATTGCCTCAAGATTTCTATTCTTAGTTGTTGCTATTTTACCATAAACACAGCAGGCACTCTGCCCTCACTAATAAAATGTTAATAAGCACCTAGATATGCCAAGCGCTGTGCCATTGATTCAATATCACTACAGTCATATGCTTTGGAGATGCAGACCCTCTTGGCATGGATTTAGAGCCTAGGAACTAGTCGATTTATTCATTTATTTGTTTGTTTGTTTGTTTTTAAGAGAGATTTGCTGCTATAGGGTGCATACACTCACTAGAGAGACAAAGACAGAGAGAAGACGAGAAATGACCCTCCGGGGAGATGACAACGCTGCAATCCCTTCTCCTCCATTCTCCTCTTGGGATCTTGGGCATGCAAGCACAAGCGCCCAGCGTGAGTTTCAAGCCTCCAGGTCCAAAACTCAAACCACAGTCAGCCATGTGGGAGTCCAGTGACATAACCATTATGCCATCTGCTGGTCCCAGTCATTCTATTTATTATAAGTATACCAGGCTTGTAATGTACATCGGCACACTGAATCTCCAAAATAACCTAAGAAGAGGTAGGATTTGTTATTTCCATGTACAGATAAGGAGACAAACCCAGGAATGACTCCATCTGCTCAGGACTTCCTAGGTAAGCAGCAGAAATCACTGGAATTAAATCCCAATTCTTAATCACTAGTAAACATCCTCCCAGAGTAGCTGCCAGCAGACCCCCAAAAGAGCAGTTGCCAAAAGGAAAATCAGTTGAAGATAATTGTACATAGACATACCAAAGGCAAAATCTGAACTGGGATCTGGAAGGTTTTTAGCTTACTCAATAAGAAATGAGTTTTCCCTTTAAAAAGCTTTTGCCATAAGCCACATTAAACAATAAGCTTGCAGTGACTGTCACACGACTCTATTTACACAGAGACTTCCAGGGTTACAGCTACCTCATACACCTGCAAGGCACACCCTGCAGCAAACTAAACCATACCATTAAGAGAATCTTCTTACCTTCTGTTCATATGGAGCACCATAGTAGCCATCATTCAGCCCAAAAATTATTTCATTTTGGTTGCGGGCATGAATCTAAAGAGAGGAGGAGACACAACATTAGTTCTCATTCCAATTACATTTTAATATCACGAGAGAATGACCATTTTTTTTTTTTTGAGAGGTTTTTGCTACAGGGCACGTGCGCTCACCAGAAAGACAGCAAGAGATAGAAAGCAAGAAATCACCCCCGCAGGGATGGCCACACCACAATCCCTTCTCCTCCATTCTCCTCTCAGGATCTTGGGCACACATGCACATGCACCCAGCGTGAGTTTAAGCCACCAGATCCGGGACTCGCACCATGGTCAACTACATGGGAGTCCAGCGACATAGCCATTACACTAACTGCTGGTCCCAAGAATGACAATTTTAACAGAACCATTTGGAGACTGAGAAACAGGCTGGCTTTATCTAAACAAACTAATAGAAAACAAACCATTTATTAAAAGACCTGGTAATCAATTGCATATTTCCTGCTTTAGTCAACATTTCACAAAATCACCCATGAGATCACAGACACCACTGTTTGCATGTATTTTCCACAGATAGTTCTTTAGGTTGTTATAAAATGGCTATTCCTGAAAATAGGGAGTTCTGAGGCTTTGTCATACTGTATACATTCCCTGATCTCAAAGAAAACATGATCTAGTAAGTCTATAAGAGTGTGTTTTAAAAACGAGGTCCCAGGGCCAGCCCTGTAGTTTGGTAATTAAGAAAGCTTGATCCCCTATAGTTAACCGTGATTCCAATTCCAGCCCTAGCAGCTTGAGGAATATGACAGCCATGTGTATATGCATGCCCCAAATCCCAAAAAGATGGAGGAAAAGGAATTGTGGAGGGACCACACCCCACGGGGGGTAGTTTTCTCCCTCTTCACCCTGTCTCTCTGTCTCTCTCTGGCAAGCATGTACACTCTTTGGCAACTAAAAATAATAATAATAATAAAATAAATTTTAGGAAAATGAAGCCCTAGCGAAAACATAAAAGATTAATACTGTTTTCTATTTTCAAAAAGACAGTTTAAAGATGACAATACTGAGTCCCCGAAGTGAAAAATGTCTACTGAGTTACTGTCTGCATACCACTCTCTTTCAGATGCCACTGGCTGCGCTTCAGTCAGTGGTACCCCAAACCAAGCTTCATCTAAAAGGTGGGAGGAATAAAGCTTTAGAAATTGAAGAACTGAGATCAAACACAACTCTAAATAGTAGAAAGTACCTAGCTGTGAAATACGAGATTTAGTTACTTCATCAGAAAGAGTTGTGGCTTAAAAAAAACTTCCTTTGCTTCTACAGTAAAGAAAGAATATGAAGGTTCAAGTGGGAAAAGGCAAAAAAGATTGCTAGCACAGAACACTGGCTCTCTTGTTTCTCTAGCTACAGATGAAATGGCCAAAGCCAGCAGCAAACGTTCCTGTGAATACTAACATGACCTCCACATTTCCTGTCTTTACTGTGAAGGTAAAATTAACCACGCTCCTGGTTACCTGCATCTTTTCCTGAACTGAATAATAAGATTAGTCTGCAATCACAAATTCATGATCAAAAGTATAAACTAGTCTCAGGAAGTTTTCATCTTATAGGAGAAAAGAGAAGGGCCAGCAAGTGATGTAGTTAAGGCACTGGACTCCCACATGGCCGACTACGGACTGAGTCCTGGACCTGGTGGCCTGAAACTCATGCCGGGCATGTATGTGTCTACATCCAGAATCCTCAGGAAGAGAGTAAAGGAGAAGGGCATGGCTATCCCCCTGGGCCCCCAGAGGGTGATTTCTCACTTTCTGTCTGTCTCTCTGGCAAGTGCACATACATACCCTATAGCAAAAATATTTCTTAAAAAAAAAAAAAAATCGAAGGCCATCCTCAATGGTCAGAAAATCTCCCTAGCAGGTTTAGAGTTCTGTAATAGAAAGAAGCACCATCTTCCATGAAATGCAGACACTTCCAAATGAAAGATAAGCAAGTACTTAATATCACACTCTATCCAGGGAGGGCCAAGTAGTCACACACATCACAGCAGGCTCTGAGAGATCAGCCAGAAGACAGCCACCACCAAAGGAGAGGAGCAAGGCCCAAACCAGAAGTCATTATTTTCTTTCTTTCCTTTTCATTTTCTTTCCTTTTTTTTTTTTTCTGAGAGAGATTTTTGCTATAAGTTGTGTGCACTTGCCGGACAAACACAAAAAGACAGGGAGACAGAAAGCGAGAAATCACCCCCCGGGGGATAGCCACACTGCAATGCCTTTTCCCCTATTCTCCTCTCAGGATTTTGCACAGGCGTGTACACACGCCCAGTGTGAGCTTCAAGCCACCAGGTCCAGGACTCGAACCTCAGTCACCCACATGGGAATCCAGCACCTTAAGCACTATGCCACCTGCTGGTCCCAGAAGTCACTATAGTCTAACTTTTAATTAAGACCAGCTTTTAAAGCTGTAAGAGCTTAAAATGTAGTTAAGGAACATACACATTCCATTTAGTAGAATGGTGGTTAACAGAAGCTTAGGAGTGAGAGCAGAGTGGCCATACTTTGGGGAGATATTAGTCAAAGAATACAAAATTTCAGTTAGATGGGAGGAATAATTTCAAAAGATCTATTGTACAACAGTGACCACAGTTAACAAACTTAAACGTTAAAATTTTTCAAAACTAAAATGTGGTAAGTAAAATGAGGGTAAAGACTAATTTTTAACCTGAAGAAACACACAGAATTAAATTGTTTCTTTAAAAAAGAAACATACCAGGAAGTATATACTGAATAAATTTTAAGGAAACACCAAGTGTTTTTATAGACAATCAGTGACCAGCATTTTAAGGGTGACTTTACTAAGAGAACCACAGGTATCACAAAATAGAAACGGAGGGAACACATTTTAAAGTTAGCCTCCAGCACATTTATGTATTTATTTATTTATTTATTTATTAAGTTTTGCTGTAGGGTTCATGCACTCGCCAAAGAGAGACAGACAGCAAGGGAAAGGGGAGAAATCATCCCGTGGGATGGTCACGCTATAATCTTTTCTTCACCATTCTCCTCTCGGGATTTTGGGCATGCATGTACACATGCCCAATGTGTTTTTCTTTTCTTTTCTTTTTTCTTTTTTTTTTGGGGGGGGAGAGGTTTTGCTATAGGGCGCATGCGCTCGCCAGAAAGAGAAAGACAGAGAGACAGGAAGTGAGAAATCACCTCCCAGAGGGGATGGCCACGTCACAATCCCTTCTCCTCCATTCTCCTCTCAGGATCTTGGGCACGCACGCACACGCGCCCAGCATGAGTTTTAAGCCACCGGGTCCAGGACTCGAACTGCGATCGACTACATGGGAGTCCAGAGACATAGCCATTACACTAACTGCTGGTCCCCCCAGTCTGTTTTTCAGGGTTCAGGGTTCAGGACTAAAATCATGGAGCTGGCCATATGGGATCCAGCACCTTAACCTCCATACCATCTGCTGGCCCCGGGCCTGCATTTAAATCTTCACTCAACCTAACTGTGATCATGAGTAGTTTGTTAAACTTTTAGAGTCTCAATTTTCCCATCTGGAGAATAGGGCACTAATACCAACTTTCACAGGGCTGTTGTAAACGTTGATTATAACAACCTCTGTCTGGGGAGGCAAAGCAATTTCATTTCATTCGTAATTCTAAGCGACTGCCAGTCGTGTTCTGAACACTGTGTCAAGGAAGTGTTATGGAGCGACTTTTGAGCTCTGCAGGAAGAACTTTGCGGTCAGTCAGCACCTCGGTCAGGGGTGTGGCAGAGCTGGAGGACAGGGAGAACGTCCCTGTTTGTCCTCCCATTGCTCAGTCAGCAACAGCTCTTCTTCATCTGGAATAACCAACTCTACTGTCAAGAGAGTGTTTAGTGGTGGATTCCTTATTCCAACTTAATTTTCAGATTCTAGAAGAGAATATCCAATAAAACAGAGAAATAGAATGCTAATGAGAATGTGTGTACTCCCCCTCCCCAATCCTCTTAAATTAGTAGCTTAGGGTGCTTCTTAGTAAGTTTCTCTAGTTACAGGTATTTTTTAAACCAGACAATGACTCAAACATAACAACATAACAAAGTAACATAAGTAAATAAAGATCTCTCTTGGTAACGTAAGAAAACAATCATAAAAGTCTCTCTTTCTAATAGGAAGAGTCAACAGAAAGGTGGACAAGTTAATTTGGAGATGACAACTTCTTGAAAGGCAGTCTCAAAATTACCTGCTGGCCCAAGTATTTCAGCCCATCTAAACAGACTTTCCATTCAATCAACAGCTGGTAGACGTCCTCCTTTCCACCCCATATCTTCACCACAAAACTAGACACAGATGTATCCAGGCGGTCCGGCATTATTCCAAAATCGAGACTCCGCCACGTTGGGTTCTGTCGGTAAGAATTACAACATGCTTTAGGAAGACTCACACTTGTGTACAATTATTTCAGTTAGGTGGGAAATCATTTTGTTTTAAAAACCAAAGACCTATATATACATTACATTGTAAACTTATGTGAACCAAGAAGACCTTCCGGTTAACATGAAGTGGGTAATAATGGTGCTGTGAATGTCTATGCTTACTTGTGATAGTCATTAGAAAGGCACATCCCATCTCTCATTGACATGCTTCATACAGTAATTTATTCACTTAGTACATGATTAAGAGCCAAGATATAAACAATGCCCTCCAAGAGTCTCCAAGTTATTGTTGGATTCAGAGTTCTAGTAAAATCATTACACTGGGGATCAGCAGTTGGCGTAATGGCTATGTCGCAGGACTCCCATGTAGTCGACCGCGGTTCTAGTCCTGGAACCAGTGGCTTAAACTCACACCAGGTGCATGTGCATGCGTGCCCAAGATCTTGAGAGGAGAATGGAGGAGAACAGATTGTGGCGTGGCCATCCCCCCTGTGGGTGATTTCTCGCTTTCTGTCTCTCTCTCTCTCTTTCTGGCGAGCGCACATGCCCTATAGCAAAAACCTGTCCAAAATAACAATAATAATTACACTGAAAATTTCATGAAAAATTCAATAACAGAACTATGCAAAAGGTTACACAATAGCACAGGAAGGAATAATAAAGTTCAGGAGCCAGGAAGACTTCCAGAGTCAGTGAAACTTGGATTTTAAAGGACAAGGAGGATTTTATCAGGTTAAAACAAGGCATTCCAGACAAAGGGAGCACAATATACGAGACTCGCAGATGTGAGAAGGAGCGAGGTGTGATAGGATTGTGGGGAGGGACTCAGAACACTGCTGGAAGCACAAGAGGCCAAAGGCCAAGGCACAGATCAAGAACAAGGTGTGGGGGTTAGGGCGCTGGATTCGCACATGGCCAATTGCGGTTTGAGTCCTGGACTTGGCAGCTAGCTCTCTCTCTCTCTCTCTCTCTCTCTCTCTCTCTCTCCCCTCTCTGGTGAGCATATGTGCCTTATAGCAAATTAAATAATAATAATAATAATTAATAAAATCAATTCTTTAAAAAAGAGAGAAAACAAAGAACTAAGCTGAAAGCTCTCTCTTTAAGCCTCCCCAAGGAAGCAAGGCCTTACTCTGTACAAGATGTGGGGCCACTGAAAGGTTTTAACATCTAGAATAATGAGGTCAACTTTATGTCTGAAAGTATACTACTTTTCATTAAAAGAACCATCTAGGGGCTGGCAGGTGGCATAGTGGTTAAGATGCTGGATTCCCACATGGCTGACCATAGTTCGAGTCCCAGGCTTGGCAGTTTGCTTTTTCACTCTCTCTTTGTCTCTCTCTGGTCAAACTGAATAATTGTAAAATATAAAATAAAATAAATAATTCTTTAAAAAAAAAAAAAAGAACCATCTAGAGGCCAGCAGGTAGCATGGAGGTTAGGTGCTAGACACACCCCCCACACACAAACATCTGTGTAGTTTGAGTCCCTGACCTGGTGGCCTCAAAATCACAGCAGGTGTGTGTGCGTGCATGCCCAAAATCCCAAGAGGACAATGGAGGAGAAGGGTCCAAGGCGTGGCTATTCCCCCAGGGGCTGATTCTCACTTTCCCTCTCTCTCTGTCTCTCTTTGGCAAGCACATGTGCCCTAAAGCAAAAACTAAAACAAAAAGAAACACCTAGTGAGTCATCTGGAAAGCCATGACTCATTTTTGCATAGAAAAACACGTCATGACTTTCCCAATGACCTAATACACAGTTGAATCTCTGAAAAGTTAAAATGTTAGAAGGCTTTCAACAGCATCAGCAGAAGTGGCCTACGATGCATCCCTTATTTTCACTTACTTCCCTTTGTATAAAAAGTTAGGGCTTTCATTACTGAATGTAAATATAACTGATCTCATTAAGTGAGCAATTTTCATATGTAAATCAAAGGATCTTCATGAAAGGGCAATGTGCCTGGTGTGGGGGTGATTTGTTTCCTGACCCGTGTTCAGGGGAGCAGATAGGGCAGTGTTTGTTTTGTTTGAGAGGCTCTAATGAAATATTTGGGGCAGTTGTTGTTGAAGCATCAGAGGGGACAGGACTTCCAGTTTCATAGCACTGACATCTGATATATCATTTGCATTTATGTCTGAACATTTGCATTGTCTGGTTTCCCCGCCACTAAAATAAAAGCTCTGATATCCTAGAACACTGTCTGACTTGTTCACGGTGCCAAAGCTTGAAAAGTAAGATGCATCATTATTTTCTGTATGACTAAAAAAAGAAGAATTGATTTTAGAATGCATCTCATTTTCAGAGATGTAAAATGGTGAAAACCACGTGCACTTTACAATCAATGGAACACAGAAGCTGTGTCTTGTCTAAGGTCACCTAGTGAAAACAGCTCCAGATTTTGAATCCAGGTTTCTAGAATTTACCTCGTGTTATTTTCGTGCATTTGTTTGTTCTCTTGTGTTGTTTTTTCCCCCCACAAACCACACAAGCCAGAATTTAGAACAAATGGGACCTTACAGTTTGTTCATAATTTCCTTCTTCAGCTCCTACAGCCAGGGAAAGAAACAGGAAGCAAAAACTCTGGCCCTCTACCTGTGCCCCATTCCAAAGAAAGGATTGGGCTGACTTAACAGAACTCAAAACTGCCCTTGCTGTTTCATCATCACACTTTACAGCTGGCCAGGGCTGCAAATAAGTGACTCAACACTACATAAAGGCTAAAATATTACTTTAAGAATGAAGCACTCACGGCCAACTTTGTAATGCATCAGTAACACATTGTTCCAAACAGCCCAGACCCCATAGGTTCAAATCCTGAGCCTGGCCAGCCTGAAACACATAAGGCATATTATGCCTGAGTGCCCAGGTCTGACGAAGGGGGCACAAAAAAAAAAAAAAAAAGAAGAAGAAGAAGAAGAAGCATTCATGCAGACTAGCTAAGAAGGAACTGGTTCACCAGTTTACACAACACTCTATCTAGGACTTTGAGAAATTCATGCAGCTCTGGGTAGAGCCCTCTAGTTCTGGAGCTGAGCCATGCCACTCCCCAAGGTCTGAGTGTGCTTCCCCAAGCCAGCAATCCTTGGTGGGCCATGGACCAGGGTGCCAAGCATTATACGTGATTTTCAGACAGAAGTATAAACACGGAAGCTACATGTGACACAGAGACAAAATGAGAGTGTCCTCTGGTTTACGTGCCCTACAAATGCTGGAACTAAAAGGGACATTTGGACTTGTACAGTCCAAGTCAAGTTTTAATTGTGGAAGCTGGGGCTTCCTCCATACCCCTTCTTTTCCTGGTTAACGATTCTCTGACCACCAGGTTTCAGTTCAAACATCTCTTCCTCAAAAGCCTTCCCTGACCTCCCCTTAGCTATCAGGCTCCACTGCCTGCCACACCCAGGAAGTGGGTCTTTTCTGCTATTGTTTTCCCTGGGCACACAGAAAGTACTTACAACTCTGCTGAGTCAGTAAGCGGCCCTTCTAATCTAGCAGCCCCTGAAGGATGAGTCTAATAGAACAACCGATATGCCTTATGATAGGCCTAAATTGTTGAGAAGAGGTGGAATAATTTTTCTTTATTTAAGAAAGGGAGAGAAGGGAAACAGCAACAAAAAGGAATATGGATACCAAAACATCAAATGGTAACAATTTTTTTTTGGGGGGGGGGTTCGCTATAGGGCGCGTGCGCTCACCAGACAGACAGAGAGAGACATAGAGACAGAAAGCGAAAAATCCCCCCCCAGGGGGCCTGGCCACACTGCAATCCCTTCTCCTCCATTCTCCTCTCGGGATCTTGGGCACGCACGCACACGCGCCTGGCATGAGTTTTAAGCCACTGGGTCCGGAACGCGAACCGCGGTCGACTACGTGGGAGTCCAGCGATATAGCCATTACGCTAACTGCTGGTTCCCGTAACATTTTACTTAAGTGGAATTCAACAGACTACCAACTCCCTATATCCTTAAATATCCAAAACAGAAAGCATGATAAAAGGGGCTGCTTTTCTTTTTCTGAGATTTATTTACTTAGTTTTATTTATCATTATTATTTTTTTAAATTTTCTACAAGGCACATGCACCCACCAGAGAGAAACAGAGAGAGAGAAAGTGAGACAGCAAGCTGCCAGGTCTGGGACTTAAAAATCACAATTTGCCATGTGGGAGTCCAATGCCTTAAACACCATGCCACCTGCTACCGCCTAAAGGGGCTTCTTAACTATCAAGTTAGATAAAATATATCCTGTAAACTTAAAAGTCTCAAAAGCTGGCACAGGATCTGCATATTCATTTACGATAGCACATTCACACTAGAGGGGGAGAAAGCACACTCAAGCACACCCCTTTCTGCAGCCTTCTAGATCTTCAGGATCCCAGGTGCTGGTTTGCATGCACACACGCACCCTGCAGTCTTCAGGCTGACCTAGAGCTCCAGGCCCAAGGCACCATGTGGCTTCCAGCCTGGCACAGTCCGCATTGCTGCTGCACCACTGTGGCTGATCTAGATCTGCTTATTCTTAATTGGGATTAACTGGCACACTTTTCCAGAAAACACACTTCCTAAAAAAAGACATCTAAACAGCCAATAAACAGTTGAAAAGATGCTCAACTAGAACTGTCTACAGTGAAGTAAGAATTAAAATCACAATATAATACCACTATTTCACCAGAATGCCAAAATTTAGAAGACCGATAATAATGTTATGCTTGGGCAAGAATGTGTAGCAACAAAATCCTTACACTGCTAGGAAGGGAAAGAAAGTAATTTCTTTTTTTGTTGTTGTTGTTTTCTTTCCTTTTCTTTATTTTTAAGAAATCTCATTTTATTATGTCTTGTTTTGGTTTTGTTTTTAACTTGCCGAGGGCATGTGTGCTCACTCAGAGTGATACAGGAGTTAAGAAAGCAGTCCCTACGGGGGATGGTCATGCTCTAATCCCCTTCTTTTTTTCTCGTCCTTCAGAGATTTTAG